AGCCCGGCCCCGCACAGTCCAGTCCCGCACAGCCCGGCCCCGCACAGCCCGGCCCCGCACAGCCCGGCACCGGCCCCGGGACAGACGGTCCCCCGCACAGCTCGGCACCGGCACAGCCCAGTCCGGCGGTGTGCTGGCTCGGCTCTGGCAGAGCCCAGCACCGGTGTGGCACATTCTGGCGTGGGTGTGGGCTCTGCCCTGGCACCATTTGGCTCAGCCCAGTACGAGTGTGAGCTCTCCTAGGCTTGAGCACGACCTGGTGCAGCTGTGGGCTTGGCTCTGGGTGTGGCACAGGCACAGCCCAGTACATTTGGGAGCCCAGGCTGGGCTCTAGCACAGGCCGACACAGTTTGGGGTGGCTGTGGGCTGTGCTCCATTTGGGTCTGTGTGTGTTTGGCCCACATCTGGCACGGCTCTGCTCAGCCCCAGCATGACCAGCATGTGCCAGGCACAGCACTGGTGCTGCACTGGCCTGGAGGGGCACCAAGCTGCTGACTACCAGGCTGGCACTACAGTGTGGCTCAATCCCACTCCAGCTCTGAATTGGCATCACACCTGTGCCAGCACCCAGCAGCAGCACCAGCCTTGGGCCACCCACCGGCCCAGGAGGCTCCCACCTTCCCCAGACCAGGTTTGTCCCTGGCAAAATCACGTGCAGGGACTGAAACCAGTACCCACCAGGACTGACCAAGACACCAGCACTCACAGCTGAGTGGGGTCAGCTTAGGGGGCCCTATGGTGTCCCAGCAGGTTCCCAGGAGGTCCTGTTGGGTCCCCTCAGCACCCCCAGCCTGAGTGGCACAACCAAGGGTGCACCCCTGTACCCAGCTGGTGCGCACCCCTCTGTGAACATGTGTGCTCGCACAGCCCCCACCTGCATATGCACATGCTGGGGGCAGATGTGTGCCCCAAGGGGGGGTGGGTGCCAGTGCCCATTCCCATCTTGTGGTGACCGTTGCCCAGCAGGAACCACGGCTCAGCGAGCAGAGCCCACAGGCAGCCCTGGGGCAGCAGGTCAGCCAGCACAGGAAGCCAGGCTGTGCAGCTGGGGGTTGTGCCCCTGCCACAGGTCAGTGGCTGGGGGCTGTTGCAGGCTGTCGAGTCGCAGGGATGCTGGTGATGAGGGGCTGCAGATGGCATCGGGTGTGGGAGGAAGTGGCCAGGGTGCCCCAGCCCTGCTGCCTCGCTGCCCCTGCGTCACCCGGCCAGAGTCCATCTCATGTCCTCAGGGGCCCTGTGCCCCAGGCCACGTGAAGCACCGGGTGCACAGAGCCACAGCACAGCCTAGGCTGGGCCTGGGGGGCGAGGAGAGGCGTGTACTTGAAGCTTGGGGACCCCCTGCCCCTCTCAGCCCAACAAAGCAGTAGCAGGGGCCAACCCACACCCTTACCCTGTCCCCACCCTGCATTCCTGTCACCCCTGGGTGGCTTCATCTGCTCTAGATGTGTGAATTGGTGGGGAAACTGAGGCAGGAGTCCCTGGATGAAGCTGGGAGGCTCCACAGCCTGAGCCTCCAGGGATCCAGGTGTGTCTGCACTCCTGCAGAGGCAGAGGCAGCCCTGGGGGGCAGTACCAGGCACAAGGGCTGCAGCACCGCACCCGGGGCACAGCACGTGGGGCACAGCACTTGAGTATGTGGGATGCATCACTGAACACGTGGGGTGCAGCACAAAGGATGCGGGTTTGTGGCTGGGTGTGGAGGGGTGCAGCACTGAGCACAGAGAGTGCAGCACTGAGCAGAAGGGGATGCAAAGCCTGGCACATGGGGAGCAGCGTTGATCACAGCGGGTGCAGCACTGAGCAGATGGGGTGCAGAGTCAAGTATGTGCTGGGAAGGAGCAGGCTGGGGGGCTCTTGGAGTCGCTCCCATGCCAATACACTGCAGGTCTCCAGCACTGGAGGGGACCCTTGGACCTCTGTCAGCTCCACTTTAACAGCTCCCTCCAAGCAGTGGGACAGTGACATTGGAGGCATTTAAGGCAGTGGGGCAGCACTCTGGGAGCTGGGTGGGAAACACCCCAGGTGCTGCTCCAGCCTGTGGCCATCTCACCTACAGACCTGCAGGCTTCATCTCCCCTCCCAGTGACAGCAGTAGTCTGTAACTCCTGCATGGGATACATCGGCAGTGCAGGAGTCTGAGACTGTGGAGCCTTTGATGGGAGCTGAGCCTTCTCTGAAATCTGCCTGCTTGGCACTCCCAGTCCCTGCAGGTGCCCTGATGTTCAGTGGCATCACTGGGCACCCCAACACTCGCTGGCACACTGTGGACCCCTAAGTGTCACCAGCATGCTCCAGAAACCCTCAGCATCCCAGTGCTCAGCTGCCCTCCCACCCTGGCTCCACTCCTGACTGATCCTCTTATTTCTCGTTGTCCTACTGAATTGTTAATTGGTAATAAATTAAAATTATTTTCTCTGAGTCAAGTGTTTTGCCCATGACTTAACTGCTGAATGATCTCCCTGTCCTTACCTTGCCCCAAAAGCAGTTCCACTGCTCACACCTCTGTCACACATGCCCTTGTTGTCCTCTCCTGCACACCCAGAGCACACCACTTCCTGTCTGAGGTTGCTCTAGCCCCTTGGCCAGCTCGCAGCTCCCCTCCTTCCTCAGTGCCTATTCACACTTCTTCCCTCCATGTCCACTCTGACCCTCCATTTCTCCCTTGTTCATGCTCAGATCCCTTTTATTCACCAGTCTGGATCTCTTACATCTCCTCCCTCTCCTCTTGGGATGCTCAGCGTCCCTTCCTTTCCTCCATCCATGCTGGCATCTCCTCCATGGATCCCTGCCCTTGCCACGGACCAAGGGGTCTCTGCTCAACCCTCTGCCAATCCTTTCCCCTCCCAGGACAATGACTCTGGTCACCTCCTCACCCTCCTGTTCCTCTTGCCCTGTGGCACGAGAGGGGTGAGATGAAGAGAATCATAGAATCGTTTGGGTTGGAAAAGCCCTCTGAGACCTTTGAGTCCAACCATTCCCCCAGCACTGCCAAGGCCATCCCTGACCTATGGCCCCAAGTGCCACATCTACATGTCGTTAAATCCCCTCCACCAACCAATGTTATCAGAGTGGAGCCTTCTCCACAAGCCCAATAGACACCCAGAGGTGTCCATGTGCACACAGGGAAGGGCGAGATGTCCTGCCCACTTCCCACAGGTCCCGTTCCTGGTGAAGGAACCACAACCTGAAGGGATGGGCTCTCTAGACCCTACGTTCCTCCTCCTCCTCCACTTTTCCTGGCTGCTCTGTGTGTCTCCAGCGTTGCCAGAATCTTTCATGTTTGTGGGGGCAAGAGGCAACGATGGCAGGGAATGATCCCCTCTGGGCCCTGGCTGAGCCCCAGCCTCTGTCCAGGGACCTCTGCAGCCCTGCATGGCATCACCTGGGTGTCCCTTTAGCACTGCCAAAGTGGGGATGGCTGGGTGCACAGGGATAAGGAAGGCAGGTCAGGGATGCCATCACAGGCAATGTCAACTGAAAGGCCCCAGAGCCCTCTAGTGCCACTGCCACAGTCCGCTGGCAAGAGTTTAAAAGTTTGGCAGAAAACAAACCCCCTTGTGTTCCAGCTGGTCCTGAGAGGACAGAGGGGCTGGGGGCAGCTGGGCTAAATTTCAGAATCAGGCATTGTAAGTCTTTTCATATTTGATGAGAACTTCCATGATCCAGATTGACAAATAGTTGGGTTTATCAAAGCAACAGGAAAGCTGGTTCAGAATAAATGCACCAACAACAGAGTGTTAATATGTTGTGACAGAAGGTATGAATGGAAATATCTCTCTCTCTCTCTCTCTCTCTTTATATATATATATACACGTGAGTAAATATTCCTGGGTCTGTGCATTGCCAGAGGCTGGGAAACACTCGGTGCCTGTTCTGGACAGAGCCAGACATGGGGTCCCTGTGGTTGAACTCCATGGGGGATGCCTCTGCAGGCAGCCACCCTTTCCTGGTGTTCCAGTAAGCTGGGATGAAAAATGCCCTGCCAAGGTCTGTGCCAGCTCCCTCACCTGACTCCTTTCCTTACCATATGTGCCCCCCTGCATGGGAGACCCCCACCACATGCTGCGTGCTGGTGAATCAGTGGTAAAGGTATTAGTGAAAACAAACTTGAATCAGAGAATCACATTATGGGGTAAGGTTGGAAGGGACCACAGTGGGGTCATCTCGTCCCACCTCCCTGCTCAAGCAGAGTCATCCCAGAGCACATGGTACAGGATTGTGTCCAGATGGTTCTGGAATATCTCCAGTAAGGAAGACTCCGCAGCCTTTGCAATCTATTCCAGTGCATGGTCACCAGCACAGAAAAGTTCTTCCTCACGTTCAGATGGAATTAATATGAATTTCCAAAAACACAACAAAGTATGATGGCCAGGGTCACTCTATTGCTTATGGAATGGATAATATGTATAGTGAAAATCAAATCAGAAACAGATAGAATCAGTGGCAAGTTAGATTCCATCAGTACCCAGGGGACCCCCAGGCCTTGCAGTGGCACCCATGGGAATTTGCTGCCAGTACAACCCAGTCGATTGTGCTGCTGATCTTTATTTAAATACTCCTGCAAATATTCTGCTGGCTTCTGCCCGGCTGTTGGGGCGCTCAGAGCTGGCTCTCGAAGCTGCGAGGCGCCTGTGGAGAGAGGAAGCTGCTGAGGCCCCGCCATGGCCGGGGGTGCGGGGTGGGTGTGAGGGTGCGGAGCAGCACTGGGTGCCCTGAGGGGTGTGGGCACCCGGCTGCACAGGGGAGCTGTGGGCACAGAGAGCTCTGGGCAGAAAACGGGGCACCAGCTCACAGCACAAATCTCTGCTGAGTTTGGGCAGTGGCAAACTGGGCACCCAGAGCACCTTAGCTCAGAAAACCCCATGGCTGCTATGGCTGATAGCAGCCATCCAATACCGGTTTGGCAACTCCCCCCAGGCCCACCAACTCACTTTCTCCTCTTCCTCCACAAGTGGAATACACCATACAATGCCATCCCCAGCAGAATTGAGCCCAGGACAGCCACGATGCCTTCTATGCAGTACGACTGGAAGGTATCAGCACCCACAGAGTTTGGGTCTGCCCTGCCCACCACAGCGTTTGGATCTGTCCTGCCATCCACAGTGTTTGGGTCTGTCCTGCCATCCACAGCGTTTGGATCTGCCCTGCCCACCACAGCAATTGGGTCTGTCCTGCCATCCAGAAGGTTTGGGTCTGCCCTGCCCACCACAGTGCTGGTGAATCTTCTGCCATCCACGGCGCTGTTGAGGCTGAGGCTGTTCACACCTGGAGGAACAATTGTGCACATCAGCGTGTCCTGACATTACCAGAAGACGTTCTTTCCCACTTTGTTGGCATGTCTGAATGAGGGAATATCCTGGGTGGCAACATTTCTGTGGCTTCAGTAGAAGCCAAGGAAACTCCCAAAGGCCTTGCAAGTCTGTGCTCTCCAGAGCCTCTCTCTCTCTCTGTCCTCTCGGCTTCTCTTACGCTCTGGAGTGGCCGCAGTCCAGTTCTCCCAGTGTCTGGCTTTGCTCCCTGTTCCTGAGGATCCTTCACATTTGCCCACAATTTTTCTTGCACTCTGGCCAGGGATGGTCTGACTGGGGCAGCCGTAGTCCCTGGGACTCAGCTGGAGCCACAACTGGCAGCAGAGATTCTGGACCATCCTCGCAGCTCGCCAACACCTGCAGGGTCCCTGCAGTGAGGCTCTGAGGTGTGGGCTGGGGAGGCTATGGCATGTCCCTACGTGCATCCGAAACCTCTGCTGCCCCGCTGTGCTGGTTAGGAGTGACCTGTACCCACCTTGTGCTATCATCTTCAGCTGTCCAAGGATTTCATGTAGCACTTTGGATGTGTCCTGGGAAGATTGTCCCCTTCCATCTTGATACTCTGGACCTTAATGGAAAGAATAAAGTTACATTTCTGCCCCAGCAAACCCTGGAAGCAGCACTCAGGCTGTGCAGTCAGTTAGGACTGACTCATGACCCCCTCCAGAGCAGGGTCCAGCCAAGAAGCAGGAAGAGCCTTCCCTGTGCCCACAGCTGCAACCAGACCCCCCATGAGGAGCTCCCGTCACACCTTGAGGCACCCCCTGTCCTGACTGAATAGAAGAACAGGGGAGGGGATCATGGAACGACATGGTACACCCAGGCTTTGCTCCCCATTCCTGTGGATCCTTCACATCTGCCCACAATTTCTCTCACGGGTGCTCACCTTCCCTTTCCAGGCTTGGTGGGTGCTGCCTTGATGGACACTCTCTCTGACCCTGGAGTCACCACCCCCAGCTCTCCCTCCCCAGCCCAGCACCCACACCCTGAGGGGACACACTCGGGCCCTCAGGAGACAGCTGAACCTCGCTCTCCCTCACTGCCCTTTCTCCAGCACGGGCAGCGCTTGCCTGCCCCCAGTTTTCAGGTCTTGTCTCCCACCTATGGCCCCTGGCAGGACTGCCCAGTGCCTGGATAATTTGGAAAACATTCCTCTAGCCCAGCGTGGGGGCCTTCCCCAGGACTGGCCAGCACTGCCAAGGATCAGGGAAAGGTAAAGCCTCAGCGTGGGTCAGGCACAGAGGCTGCAGGAGGACGGTGCAGGGTCCCCCCAAGCCGTGCTGGACCCGTCGGTGCAGCCCTTTGGACCCCAGTTCTGAGGAGGGATCCCCTCTGTTATGCCAGGGCCTCCAGGGCCATTGCTCGTGGGCATCTGCCAGAGTTGGGGGCTGGCCCTGGCCTGCCCACCTACCCACTGCCCACGGTTGCCATGGAGCAGCCCCGACACCCCTGGCTGGCAGGGCCACCAGGAGGAGGATGAGGGCCAGGGCCCACCGTGCCTGCACCATGCTGTCACTGCTGTCACTGCTGCTGCTGGAGCGGTGCCTGCAGCACCCGCCCTGCACTGCACACCATGGCTTGGCCTTATGACCTCATAGGGGGCTTTGTGACCTCACAGGGGCTTCCACCGGCAACATTCCCCTCCCCAAGGGAGCCTGTAGCAGGGAGATTGCCAAAACTGAAACCAGTACACCTTTGAAAGCTCAACAAAACAATATTTATTACAAAGAAGTAGCCAGCAAAACAAGAAGGCAGAGACAGGAAAGAGAAGGGAAACAAGCCCCCAAGACAACCTCCCACTCACTCAGGTGTTACCAATGAGGTTGTCTTACCAACCCCAGAATGTTTAGAATTCCCCATAGCAGAAGTTGCATCCTCAGAGTGTTGGCAGGCTCACGAGACAGTGGGCGTCCCCTACAAAAGACAACGTTGCCCATGTAAAGCTTGAATCCACTCCCAGCAAGAGCTATCTGCTTTTTATACAATTAACCTGTGACGTCTACCTGGACAGGTGTGGCCAGCACCACCCAGCCAGAGGTCCTCGGTCCCTCCCCCCATGATGTAAGTGGTGCCCCTTCTGCGCATGCGTGTGTACACATCGAGGGTCTTTTCTAAATGAGTCAGGGGGCTTCCTTCATCATCCTCCTCGTCACTTTCTCCTTCAAATAGCCAGTCACCAATTAATTTCAGTTTATACAGGATGCTTCGTTCAAGGAGGAAGTTCTTGTTTATCAGCGCTTGTTTTCACATAAATTGGCAGGAAAAGAACAGACGCTCACAGGTGGCTGGGCCGAACACAGACCAAAAGTAAGAGCGTCTAATTAAGCACAAATGCAGAGGCCCAAACGTTCCGCAGCCGCCGGTGACAGATCAAGCAGGCACAGCCCTTCCCCCGTGCCAAAAGGCTCTCTGGGGACCTGCTCTAGAAAACTCTGCAGAGACTACCTGGGACTTCACCTGTCTCCAGAGCAAACCTCAATGCTCCTGGAGCTGCCTAGGGGTGTCAGGCAGCTGCCAGCACAGACCTGCCCCGAACATGGACCAAATGCCTCCTGGAGCTCCCTTGGACGAGTTGGGAGCTGACACCCTTCGTGCCCCACATTGGGCACCAAAAGGACTGTCCTGGTTTAACCCCAGCTGGCAACCAAGCACCACGAAGCTTCTCATTCACTTTGCCCTTGATGGGATGAGGAGGGAACTCAGGAAAGCGAATAAAATAGACCTGGTGGGCTAAGAGCAGTTTAATAATTGAAACAAAGTACACTATAATAATAATAATAATAATAATAATAATAATAGAGAAGAGAGCGAGAGAGGGAAAGAACACTCAAGAAAACAAGTGATGTACATTACAATTGCTCACCACCTGCTGACCAATGCCAAGCCAGTCCCCAAACCCTGATTGGCCCCCCATTCCAGGTAACTTCTCCACTTTATATACTGAGTATGACATTCTGTGATGTGGAGTATCCCCTTGGCCAGTTTGGGGGGGCTGTCCCAGCCATGCTCCCTCCCAGATTTTAGGGCACATCTTCCCTGGCAGAGCATGAGACACAGAAAAGTCCTTGGCTCAGAGCAAGCAGCTCTTTGGGGCCACCTCTCCCTTCTCCTCCCTGATTTGCTGCCCCGTCCCAATGGCCCAGCAGCTCCCACTGTGGGAACCCCCTGGCCACCAGCTCCCCATGTGCCTGGCACATCAGCAACGGGAGCCGGCTCAGCGGGTGTCCCAAAGGTTCCCCCTGGCCCAGCACAGCTCCCACTTGTCCAGGTCTGGGGGACTCCATGTAACTGCTTCTTTAACCCTTGGAGCTTCTGCCTCCACTGGACCAGCACCAACCCAACCTCCGCTGGTCACCTCCATACTGGGCCATGGTGCCACTGCCCTGGGGGGCCCCAGGAGCTGCCCAGACCAGAGAGGTCCATCACGACACCTCACTACCTACCAAAGGAGTGCGAAAGAGTGCAGTGGCCACCGTGCCTGGGGACCCCACTGGCAGCAGCACAGAGGGGACAGCAGTGCCCCCAGCCCCCACAGTGCTGTTGATATTCCTCATGGCCACCATCACAGAGGCCTCCCCAGGCAGCCACATCTCCCAGGGCAGCCACATCCCCCTCAGGGATGAACACTGCCCAAGGACATGCTTTGGGATTGCTCCCTGGTTGGACAGGATGACTTCAGCAGCATCCCCAAGGCTTGGGACCCTGAAGCCATCCTCCACAGAGACACTGGCTTACTCTTGCTGCTGGCAGAGTTGCTCAGTCCCACTGTGGGACTCCACAGTCTGAGAGCACCACAAGAGCACCACAGTCCTGAGCCTGGAGCAAGCCACCACTGGCAGGATGGGGCCCTGGGAGCTGTGGTGGAGTGCAGGGATGGACCCACCACCATCCCAGCCTGCCATGTCCCAGCCTGGCAGGGGCCACACGAAAAGTGGGGGGAGAAGCAAAAGAGCACCAGGCCAAACCGCCCCCCCAGCAAGTGCCAGGTTCTGGCAGCCAGCACTGAGGGGGATGGTGGTGGGTGGGAGGTGTGGGTATATTTGAGAGTGAATGGTGACAGATTATAACTTTATGAAACATTTACTCCTGGGTGTGTTCCACTAAAAGCCATTTTTCCAAGTTGCTTTGTGCAGGAGGGGGAGGGAGCACTGGGGGCACTGTAAAACAGCACCCAGTAAGTACAAAAGCCATATTGACTCCCAGATCAGAACCAGCCCCGAGCACTGAGCTGCCCCCAGGACTGAGGCATGGCCAGCAGGGACTGCAGTGGTGGGGGGTGACTGCCCTGTCCCCTTCCTTGGGGGAAGCAGCCAGGCCTGGCAGGTCTGTGCAGGACTCCTGGACATGGCCCCACACAGAAAGGAGCATGGAGCCCCTGGGACAAGGGCAGACGGGAGGGGAACAGGGCTGGGGATGGACACACGCAACAAGGGATACAGTGCCTTCATCTTGAGCATGAGCAGTGCTCCCTGAAGTGGGGATGGGCTTGGTTGCCCCTTCAAAGCCTCGGGGCAACCACGCCCTGCCTTGGGTGTCCCTACACTTGGCTCTGCATCTCGGCTGTGCCACGCAGCCAGAGCCAAATCACCCCAAATCACCCCAAGAGTGACAAGGGATCAGCCAAAGGCCAGGCAGAAACCCTCCTCCCCTGGTCTGGCTGAATTGGTGAGGAGTGGGGGAATAAGAAGAAAAAAGTCACGGCCTTGAATCTTCATCTCTCTTGGTTGCCCATTTCCCATCCAAAGTCTGGACCCCATCCCAGCTCTGGACCCTGGGAAGGTGCAATGCGATTGGCATCAATCTCCCCTCACACACTGACCTGCCCAAAGCATCATCCTTGCCCCAGGGCTCCTGTCCCTGTAGCAGCTGCACTGCCATCACCCATCACCCTCAGGGCCATGCGATTTCTCTGCTCGAGAGACCGAGAGACAGGGGAAAGAGGAACAGCCCAGAACTTCAGTGTTGGTTGAACAAAAGTTAAAGCACGTGCTGCCAAGGTGCATCCCAGAGCTCTGAGGGAACTGATGGAGTTTCCGGGCCTCTCTCTGCTGTTGAAAAGTCACAGCAGTCAGCTGAAGACCCAAGTGATTGGGAAAGGGAAACTCCACCCGCCCAAGATAAATTTAAAATATTGTGCTTTATCCCCATGTGTGGATGAACAGTGTGTCCAGCCCCAAACTGAGTATTATGATTTAACAGATGCCAATGCATTAATGCCAGAGAGATGGGGTTTGGATAGAATTCCTTATTACTTTCAGTTAGTTCCTTAAACAACTTAAAAATAATCTGAGAAGTATCTACAGAGTTGTAAATAAAAACTCAGAGCAAAGTATGTTTTTCCAGGGTTACATTAAAATGTTCATAAGCGAGATCTATGTCTGCTTAAAAAGAAATACCTGGATCCTGGGAACTACCAAATCTTCAGCCTCAGCTCTGTGCCTGGGAAGATCATGGAAAAGATTCTCCTGGGAGCTCTGCTGAGGCCCATGGAGGGCAGGAGGTGATTCGGGACAGCCAGCAGAGGTTCTCCAAGGGCAAGTCCTGCCTCACCAACTCTCTGTGATGGAGTGACTCCAACCTGATATGGGGGAAGGGCTATGGATGGCATCCCTCTGGGCTGTTGTAAGGCCTTGGACACGGCCCCCCGCAACACCCTTCTCTCCCAGGGAGAGGTGGATTTGCGGGGGTGTTGGGTGAGTGTCTGGCCAGTGAGGTGTTAGTTGGGTGGTTGCTGCCTTGAACAAGTTGATCAAGGGGAGCAGCAGATGAAATCATTTTGGATTTCGGTACAGTTTTGATACCATCTGTCCCAGGGCCCTCCTGGACCAGGGAGCCGCACCCCCCCGCCATGACGGGCCCGCGGCCCCCCCCGAGCGGCGGAGCCCCGGCGCCACCCGGAGGTTCGGAGCGGGAACTGCAGCCCCGCCACCGCCCCCCGCAGGGGGGGTCACATGTGGGGGGAATGGGGAGGATGGGCGATGGCTGGGGACGTGGCGGCGCGGGGTCTGGGTGTCCCCTGGTGCTGGCAGGCGACAGGGGGTCCCGGCGGCGCCACTGGGGGGGCCGCGGGTGCACTGGGAACCCCAGCGGGGCTGGAGGGACAGCTGGGGAGCCGGAACGCGTGCGAGCAGGGCGGGTTCCGGGCGGACCGCGCGGGGAGGACCGGAAGCGCGGCCGAGCCCGTTGCCGTGACAGCGGGCCCGGGGCCGCCATGGAGGCCGCGCTCACCGACATGTACGACCAGGCGCTGCTGGGCATCCTGCAGCACGTCGGCAACGTGGAGGAGTTTCTGCGCGTCCTCTTCGGCTTCCTCTACCGCAAGACCGACTTCTACCGGCTCCTGCTGCGGCCCGGGGACCGCCTGGGCTTCCCGCCCGGCGCGGCGCAGGCCATGGCCCTGCAGGTACCGGCGGGGCCCGGGCTTGACACGGCCTGGCCGTGCTGGTGGCCGGCGCTGACCCCGCCGCGGGGGCCAGCTGAGCAGGCCGTGTCCCTCCGTCCGGGCAGGGCGGGGGATCTGGGGCGGGGGTCGGGCAGCACAGCAGCCCCCGGGCCACCGGCGCTGCTCAGAGGGGTGCGGGAGGAGGGAGAAGGTGGAGGGTGCACCACTGTGGGCGATGGCGGCAGCGTCACCCTCGTAAGAGGACGAAGAACCTCGGGGGCAGGCGGAAGCTGCGAGACCCCGGTGGGAAGAGCTGGGGCACAGTGGGCTCACGGTGGGGCTTACGGGAAGCCGCCATCAGGAGCCCTGGGAGCAGGGAGCCCGGAGAGCGGCCGGGGGCAGGTGGGGACGCGGGAGTCGTAGGGGGAGCGTGTCTGGGGTTCGCTCAGCGAGAGCCTGTGGTCGGCACGGGGCTGGCCCCGCTCCTGGGCGGGAGGGGCAAAAGCCCCGACCTGCCGGGCTCGCGGTTGGGGCGGCTCTAACTAGGGCTCTTCTGGTCTGTTATTAATCTTCATTAGCAGAGAGCAAAACAGCTTGTAAGGCTCAGGGTGAGGCTGGGTTTGGGGTGTTTGGTGTTTGTCTGCTCGGACTGGATGAGTTTTCCTTCCCAAGTGTGTCAGGCCTAGGGTGCCGTGGGCAGGGGGATAGGGGTGTCCCTGCCCCTTCCTGCGGTGCTCTGTGGCACACGGGGGTCCTTGTCACCCCCCAGGGCAGCTTCTGCTGTGTGCTGCGGGTGAGGGGGGACCCCAGAGAGGGCTCAGGCTGCACAGGGAGGGCACGGAGCACAAACCACTGGGCAGAGGGGCAGCGCTGGTGGGGGCCCCATGTGGTGTCCCCCTGGGGCCATTTGGGGCTGGGCACAAGGAGGGAAGTGCAGTTCTGGCCACAGCGTTCCTGCCACAGGGAGCTGTTGGTCAGAGCAGCCTGCTGGCTGCAGCCAGAGGGACCCAGAGCATAGGACAGTGCAGAAGGGGCCCCTCCCTCATCCTGGCTTGGCTGCAGCCCAGGGCACGGACATGGGTCTGAGGTGTTGCTCTGCATGATCCATGTGGGGCTGGCACTCACCTCTCTGCTCCATGCCTGGGGAAGAAGGCCAGAGTGAGGGGCACAAGCTTCTGTCCTGCTGTGGCTGCGCCGGCAGGAGCCCTCCCTGAGCCATGTCCTTTGTCCTGCACCTCGTGGGCCCAGAAGAAGACTCGAATGAAGCAGCACCATGGACCAGGCATGCCAGTCTGCTACTGGAAGCACTAAATCTGACTCTAAAACATTCCTGTGAAGTGAAGGAGGGCTGTGTTTGACACTTGCACACTTTCCAGAACACGTTTACAGTACCAGTGCCCTGGCACTCGAGGGAAGACGCTGCAGCCCCTGCAGGGAGCGGGCCCAGGTCACCATCACCCCTCACTGACCTCCTGGGTTCACTTCTGACCTCCAGCCTGCACTGGACAGGCATGGCCAGGAGGCAGGTGTGGGGTGGGATTGCATCTCCTGGGGTTACGTATCCTCCAGCCCCAGCTTAGGGGCTCTGAGTCTGTTGGGCACAGCTTCTCCTGGGACAGTTCATTCCGTTTGCTCCTTGGAGGCTTGGTCTGAGTTCCAGGCTTGCAAATGGCCCCTGGGTGAGCCCTGGAACATGGAGTGAGGGGAGGTTCCCTCAGAGCCCCTTCCCAGCCAGGAGCCAGAGCTTGCCACTCTGCTTTTCCCTGGAGTAACCAGCCCTCTTTGCAGGCTGGGGTGAGGTTGGCTGCCAGAACATGACCGAAGAAACAATTCCAAAATGCTCCCAGGAGCCAGGCTGTCTCTGAGGTGCCTTTGACATGGCTGTGAGACTTTTCAAAGAGTCATCAGCAGGTTTTGCTGGTGAAGCAGCTTGGGGTTGGGAGGAGCGTGTGATGCCCAGAGAGGCAGGGACAGGAAGGAATAAGTGCCCCAAGTGTGAGCTGCTGCTCCTCTCCTTCTCCCTGGTGTCCCAGGTAGAGCTGGTGGTTCTGACTGCTCAGTTTGCTCTTTCTCTTCCAGGCATTCCAAGTGTTTGAGCGGATGGCCAGGCAGGATGACGAGAAGAGGCGCCGGGAGCTGGAGGCAAAGCTGAGGAAGAAGGAGGAGGAGGAGGAGGCAGCTGCAGCTGCTGAGAGGGTGAAGCTGTGCCCTGCAGCTCAGGAAGTTGAAGTGGAGACAACGGAGCACATCCCAGCACCAGATGTCGGGGGAGCTGTGGGCACACAGGAATCAGCTGCAGCCCAGGGTGCCGCAGCCCCCAGCTCTGTGTCGGTGGAGCCTCTGGGGGCTGCTGCCCCAGCAGAGCTGCTGACGTAAGGATCTTTTACTTTCTTCATGCTCCTGGTAGGGGGGAGACAAAACTACAGACAGGGTGTTCCCTGTTTCCTGCACAACCGTTTTCAGGGGTTTGACCTTCCTCTGCAGGCACTCGGCCCTTTGGGAGACTGTGAAGATTTCCCTTGCGGGCTCCCATGGCCAGAGACATCACGTAACTCCCTGCAAGAGGGCAGGGGTTGTTGTTCTGTGGGTGGTTCAGTGTCTCCTGCTCTGCTCTGAGCAGGGGAAGTGGCACAGCCCTGTATGCAGCCCTGCAGAGCTGGGCTGGGCCATGTGGCTCCTCCACGTGCTGGCTTCAGTGAGCAGTGTCCATTTTCTGGTGCTCGCTGATGGAAGTCCTGGCACCTGCCTACCACCCTTTTGTCAGTGTTGGACTCCCCAGCATGCTGGGAGACATCCCAGCAGTCATCTGGGAATGTGCACAGCTACCTGCAGTACCTGTGAGTTGGTGCTGCCAGGCCTGGGACAGGCGGCTGCAGCAGCAAATGGGTTCGGAGCCCTCCAGACGTCTCTGGCCCAGCCCTTGGCTCAGAGCAGGGCCAGCTTTGAAGATCAAGCAGGTACTGCAGAGTTTTCTCTTTATCTAGGCTTGATGGCTTTCCAGCAGGGCCAAGCAGCCTCCGTTTGTACAGAAGTGTCCTTGTGTCAAAGTCCTTCCAGGGCTTCTGAGACGCTTCCAGCCCGACTCTTGTCTGCTGAGCAGCAGGAGGTGAGCTCGAGCAGGCTGGCGAGGCGTCTGTGAACCACGTACCTGAGTGCACATCCTGTGCAGGTCTCGCTTGTCCTTCCGTGGGTGTCACCTTGACCCCAAGCTGGGGCAGAGCTGCCCAACCCTCGATCAGGGCCTCACGCCCCTCAAGGTACAAGCTCTTGTGTCTCCTCACTGCCCAAGTCGAGGGAGCAATGCCACGAGCAGGCCGTGCAGACCCTGTCTCCTCCTCCCTTCCCTGTTGTGTCCTGTGGTCAGACCTCATGCAATGGCTGCACCACCCTTCTCTTGCTCGCTGCAGCTGTCCTGGCCATATGTGGGGCTTCACTGCAGCCTGTCCCTGCTGTCCCACTAGTACTTGGTGAGGAGGACAGCTTGGGCTGGTGATGTCTGTCCTTCCAGCCAGTTTTGGACATATCATTGGCGAGAGCAAGGCACCAGAGGGAATCAGGCTCTAGTGGAAGAGCCCCAAATCCTGGAAGGACTGGGATGGCCAATGCCCCTGAGGAACAGAGAGGATTTGGAGCTCTGACTTAGGGACTGTCAACCCTTGGCGTATGGAAGGGACAGTCTGAGGACCAAAATTTTGGGGGCTATGGGACCATAAGTGGTAGGAGTATGGAGGTTTAGGTTGGATATTAGAAAAAGGTTCTTCCCCCAGAGGGTAGTCGGGCACTGAACAGGCTCCCCTGGGCAGTGGTCATGGCCCCAAGGCTGCCAGAGCTCAAAGAGTGTTTGGACAACGCTTTCAGGCACATAGTGGGATTATTGGGGTTAGGCCAGGAGCTGGACCTGATGATCCTTGCGAGTCCCTTCCAGCTCAGGATATTTCATGGTTCCATTATTCTAGGACAGCGGCTGAGTCAGGTCCTGCAGCCTTGGCTGGACACAGTGGTGGGGCAGGGCCCGAGCGTGGCAGCTGTCTGGGCAAGGGAAAGGGTACGGGCTGTGCCTGGGCAAGGTGCCTGCCCAGTCACCTGATCTGATGGGAGGAGGAGAAAGAACTTGTGTGTAACTGGCACACATTCTGCAGGATAAAAATAAGCCAGAAGCCAAAAATGAAATTACCTGCAAAGCCTGTGCCAGAGCTGTCCTGTGAAAGGGGGTTTGTCCCTGGGGCTGCCAGTCTGACACCTCTCCCTGTGCAAAATTAGCAAGCCAAAAACCCTGTGAGAGCAGGCCTCGGAGCTGGCCTCGGGGTGTCTAGCTCAGCTTTATCCCAATGGAGATGACAGGGAGAGACTGGAGGAGCTGGCGAAACCATGAGCAGAGGGAGCTGGGCTGGCCTGAGTGCCAGCTGCTTGTGCCCCTGTGCAGGACCCGTTTGTTGCATTTTGCCCCATGAAATTTCTTCTCAAGCCTTTTGTTGTGGGGCAGCAGCTGGTGCGAGGGAAGTTAAGCTGCCTGAAAGCTGATGTCAGGGCTGCAGGAAGGAAACTGGAGGGGTTAGGAAGGAAGGTGAGGGCCAGTGTGGGAGCAGAATGTGTCTGACAGCAAGTATGCTGGAGCCATCAGGGATGGTTTCTGCTGCGGGTGGTTGAGAGCCTGGTGAAAACTCAGCCCTCACACGTGCCACCCTCTGAGTGTGTCCTGGCACCAGTGGAAAGTGGCCCCTGTCAGACGTCAGGCATTTGGGTGCTCTTTTGCAGCCTGCAGCTGTGGCATCAAATGCCAAGCCCTGCTTGGCAGATCTCCCCATGAAAAGAAGGTACCTTCAGCCAAGTACAGGTGCCCCTGTGGCTTCTGCCCTCCCGAATGGTCTCTTCCCCCTTTGCTCTTCCTGCTCCCACCACCCCAAACTCTCTGGTTGGGTGGAACACCCGCACCCGCTTGGTGGCTGCCCAGTTTGGGCACGTGGTGGGTGAGACCAGGCACAGGAGGCTGTGTCCCAGGAAGCTGCGGTGGTTTCCAGGCCGGGAGAACGGGATGTCTGTGGGCTCGAAGTAGGGTAGAGCAGCCCACGGGTTTGTCATGGGGCTGTAGTTGGTTTCGGTGCCTCTGGGGGGCACTGGAGCCCCCCCGAAAGGCTGCGGGGGCCGGGCGGGCGGCCTGGCCAGCCCCCGACAGACTATTAATAATTTAACCAACTGCTTAATTCTCCACAGCCCCTTCTGAGGAAAACCCAGAGCTACCAGCCTAGGTATGAGGGGCGCATGAGTAATGTGCAACTCCGGCAGCAGGAATGCAGAAAAGAGCTTAAACAAAAATATTTTCCATCTCCTTTCCTTCCCCCCACCCCTCCAGCCACTGGTGAAGAAAACCGCTGCCACCAAAATCTATATAAAAACTCGCTCATTCTGTCAACCTGACGGCTCTGGGAATGTAGGGCAGGTATGATCCCAGATCTGCCAGCTCCCATCAGAGCCTTGTGCTGCGCCTGGGTGCTGGGGCTCTGGTCGGGAGCCTCTTGCAAGGCACAGCGAGCTTTTTCAGGGCCGATCCTGATGAATCAAGCCGGCTTTGTGGGTATGAAGGTTTGCAGGGCTTGGTTTGGGGCTCAGCCAGGTCTCCCCGAGTCCCTTGCCATCCCCACCTGCGAAAGGCAAGTGAATTGGTTCCTCTTTGCTGCCCTGTGAACACGCTGAGGACTGAGGTGTCTTTGGGGTGACGCTCATGCCAGGAGCAGTGCTGAGGGGGACCAGAGGTCTCCGTGCCACAGAAGAAGCCGGGCTCCTCTTGCAGCTGCCCTGAGTGTCCTGACCGTCCTTCCCTGGCTGTCATGGCTCTCTTGCTGTCCCCACCTCGCTGGGAGGGCAGTGGGGTGCAGGCCTTCCTCACACCCCACCATGGGGCTGTTCATCCCAGGGCTGGCATTGCAGCTGCACAGTCCCAGGTCTGGTTCTTCCCCCATCTGCTCCCAGAAGCCATCCTTGCCTGAGCTCAGCTCCTAATTTTGAACACCTCCGCTGCCCAGCACCCTCCCCTTCCCCCAGCTTGGATTCCATCCTGCATATATTTGCCACACAGCATTTAAAATAGAGCCTGGCAGCCCACGTGTGGCACTGCACAGCCCGGCCTGTGCTTGTGCTTTCTGACTCTGGTTCCTGGCTTCCCTCTGTTCCTGCTTTCTTCCAGTATGAACTGGGGGGAAGCTCTCATCCCACTATACTGAGTCCCATCCCAGGGCTTACTCCATGTATGGGCAAGAGGTAGTGGCAGGAGGTTGGAAGGGGCAATCCTGGGAGCCTGTGGATGATGGTGAATGTCTCACCTTCATGTGTTTCTCCATCCAGCTTTTGTGTCTCTCCCAGGTGCTTCAGCCAGGTGTGCTCAGGGTGGGGCAGCTCTGGTCTGTACCTTAGAGACCAGCTGGGCAGGTGAGGTCTCTCAGAGGAGGATCTTTGGGGGTGTCAGTACCATCAGGGCTGGAAACGGGGCCAGTGGGACACAGAGCACTGGTGGGTGCTGGGTGGGCACAGGAGGGCATGCGGTGTCTCGTCCCAGAGGAAGGTTTTGGCTGCTGCTGGAGGATCTGCCACAGTAACATGCAGAGCGGAACAAACCCCTGAGTTTCTGTGGCCTCAGCCATTTGCCCTCTGCTGCGTGGAAAAGGAAGAGGCAGCTGAGGTGAGGAGGGGGCTCTTCATGGCTCCACCACTGCCTTGTGGGGGCTTATGGAGTGTGTGACCTGGAGAAGGGACTCCACTCATCCTGTGCACACAGTGCCATTGTGCCAAGGAAGGGAGCAAACAGGATGCTGCTGAGCCCTGGTCACATGGTCCAGTTGAGCCATGCTGCAGGGCCAGTCCCCCTGATGCTGCTCTGCCGTCCCCGGGAGTGGATTTTGGGGCTTGGCAATGACCTACAAAAATCCTCGGTGTGTGCCCTGGCTTGCTGGCCCTGGTGAGCAGAATTGACTCAAATGCATTAATTGGTGAGCTGACTCCTGACGCTTCAGTTCTCTCCTGAGACCCACAGCTCCCATTCCCAGAGCCCCTAGATTTGGGGTTAACCCTTTGCGGGACACGCTGGGAGCATCCCCAGGATGACACAGCAGCACTCTGGGAAATTTCCATGAGGCTCCTGTGTGAATCTGATTCGACTTAGCAACGGCTTGGCTTTGCCGGAAGCCCAGATGGCGTTTTGTCATTGCAAGGTGCCTGCAGGATGGGCTTCCTGGCAAGGCTGCATCCTCCTTGGGGTGCTGGGAACAGGAGTTTCACTGCTGGTCACCCTCAGTAGGGGAGCAGGGCTGTGCAGAACAGCTGTTGCTGCATGCTGCTGACTTTGAGGCCAATTTTGTTTGGCTCTGAGGTGGCATTCTCC